GTAGTTCTGAGAACGTGGGAGGGCTGACCTGTTCCATGGACCTGTGTTCTGACACCCTCTTGGCTGCCTCTCTTTGGGCCTTTTCCAATACTCTGTCCAGGGCCCTCTGGTGCTGGCTTTTGGCCTTTTGTGTGGCTTTAGAAGCCTTAGCGGCACGCCCCTAGGTTCCGTGGCTGCCCGCTTCCTGGTGAACCTTGATCCCAAGGTTCTTGCCATCTCCCTGTCGCTATGTGGGAAAGACTGGGGTGCAGCCACCCCCAAGGCTGAGTTCCCCAATGCGGCAGTTGCCATGTGTGAGACCTATGCAGCTTCTTTTATGCATCGTTAAAAAGAGCCCAAGGTAGTCAGGCAGGACTTAATGCTGACTTGGGGAACTGAGTCCGAAGGGCTGTGGCTAAGAAGAGTGCTTGGGTCGAAATTGTCAAAGGGGCTCACCCAGCTCTGATCCGTCGAGGAAGAACTTTGCCACTGCAAAATGGCCACCGCCGCTCTTTGCGCCTTTTCAAAATGGTGCCCGATATCCTCACTGGCAAAAATGGTGGTTGAATGTGGAAGGTGGAGGCTGAGGTCTTGGAGTGAGCACTCATGGGCAGTGCCTCCTGGCCTTTTGGGGATCATGCTCCCCTTGCTATCCCTGGGCAGCATTCCAGAACAAACTCGTGGCCGCTGCTCATCGTCAATGAGCCCAAGTGCTTCTGTAGACACCCAGTGAGGCAGGGAGAAGCCCTGCCCACTGGTTAGGAAGAAACTCCTGCTCCACCTGATGTTAAAAGAGACCAAACTCTAATTTTAGAAAAATAATAAAAATGCCTAATTGCTAAAAAAACAAACAAACAAACAAAAAACTTGAGGAGAGGAGAAGAAACACGTCCAGTCCAAGGATAGACTGAGTCTAAAAGCTGGGAGGAGCTACCAGAGGAGGTGTGACATCACAGTTTGTAGACTCATTCCAATTGGATACTAGAGTTAACACATTCCTATTCCTGGATGCTATCTCCACCAACTATGGAGCACAAGACACTGCGAGGCTCATTGCACCGGTGCTGCCACTCGTGGCAGAATGCCACAAGCCTCTTTGCACCGGTGCTGCTGTTTGTGCACACAATGGCACAGCACACCATGCAGCCTCCTGCTGAAAGTGGTGTCGCTGATACGACAAGCCACACAGTGTCTAGCTGCGAGTGGCTGCAAACGGTCACACAAGTCAGGCAGCAGTGCGACAAGTGTTGGGGAATGGGAGACATGGCTGCAGTGGTCCTAAGGTAAGTGGGTAAGGCATCCCCTGAAAATAAGACCTGGTGCTTATTTGAAGCAAAAAATAAAATAAAATCAGGTCTTATTCTTGGGAAAACATGGTAGCAAATGCCTGATATGATTTCTGATTCACAAAAACTGGGGCTGCAAATCAATGTTTTTATACTAGTACAAGCTGTCTGCACTTTTCAAATTTATGTTTGTAAAGCTCTTTTTAATTATCCGTTTTTCTGGTTCAACAATTCAATTTATCCTAAAAGGGACATAAAATTGCACATCCCATATAAAATTTGGTTAGTATTTTTAATTCTGATAATAAATCTGAAGTTAAAAGTACTTTATATTAATTGAAAGAAAAAGTTAATAGGTGACAGCTGTTTCCCTCTCAAACATTCTGCAAGATCCTTATTACTATATAAACTAGAAAGCTTCTAACTGAAGTTATTAAGATAGCATCTGGATGCCAAATATATAATATGCTACACCTAGCACTGTAATTAGAGAATTAGGAACTAGAGAATCAGAACTGGGAATTTTATTAGGATGCTAATTCTTATTACAGGACTCAAGTAACAAAATTTCATGACATCCCCAGTGTAGTACAACATTATTTAAAGATAGAAACAGCCAGCAGCATTGAGATTGCTCTCTGCCTTTGCATCTTTCTTTCTTTCTTTCTTTCTTTCTTTCTTTCTTTCTTTCTTTCTTTCTTTCTTTCTTTCTTTCTTTCTTTCTTTCTTTCTTTCTNACTGGTCTAGACAGTCAGTATCAGCCAACAGTGACTCAAGGGTTAAAAAAAAATGATAAAACTGAGCAAGCTCAGTAATTGGCTGATCTTCTCTCCAACTATTAGCAGGTGAGACTGAGAAGGGTTAAGTCACACCTATAAGAACGTGAGGGCGAAAATCTCCTAACATAAATAAAAAAGCAGAATCAAATTATTTAATTTTGAACATGCTAAACTAAACATTGCTTTTTTTTAAAGACAGACTAATATTAAGGATACTGAAATTTATATTTATAAATCTAATTCTAAAATATATTTTATCATTTACAAATGTTATCAGAATTTGCAGGACCAATTGCTTCTGGTTTTCCAATTGTAACCTAGTGATAACCACACTATTATGTACTCATCATGTTAGTCATAACATGAATTGTAACCTTAAAAATTAGCTGCTGCTTCATACCCTCTCCCCTGATCTTTTCCGTATAAGTTACACTTTTATCTGTAAGCCTGAAGATAGAGATTCATTTTTATTGCTGCTTCCAGGCCAATTTTTTTTTTGCTAAAATGCAATATGAACATTCTATAAAATGAAGACCAAGGTACTTATATCTTTTCCAGTTAATCCAGAAACATGTTGCAGTATATTCAAAAGAAAATAAATGAAAAACTGAAGTCTGTACTTTTGTACTTTGTACCAGGTATGTGCAAATTGTTCCAGGATGTTTCATGAGTATGATAGTATGGAATTTTCTGAAGCTGTGAAGCAGTCAGAATAAATCAAAGTTATTGTATGGCTGTTTCATTGGTACCTCAGTCCTTGTAGGTAATTCACTCCAGAAGACATGCTGAATACTAAAACTGGCAGGTACCAGAAAATCACGTGACTTACCATGTGGCCCACTATTTTGGTCAGAAGAAATAGTGAATCATGAGGCAGCCGACATCAGTAAGTTCTTTCTTACATGTCAACTATCAGGAGAAAGACAAGCATTGGGACAAGATTTCTGCTTCAAAATGTGTCGAATACTGAATTTGATGCCTTTTGAAGCAGTTGAGGGCCGAAGTATGACTGTACTAATCATATGTGAAATCCCCACAATTCTAATTAATTTTTATACTATATACAGCCACCCCTAAAAATAAAAATAAAATGTGTTTTTTAGTTTTTACATATATACTTTGGATAAGAATAATTCTAAATTATTGTATTGTGGAAGAGTGATTTTTGTACCATATGTTGTGCACTTTCAGTCATGCACTATAACTTATTAGATATAAGTGTATTTATGTACATATCCATTATCCTAATCCATTTCATGGTAAAAACATGATGCAAAGCACAAAAATATAAGGAGTGAACCAAAGAAATTATAGACATAGAGAAAATGAAATCTAACCAAATCTAGTTTAAACTAACACCTTTCACTCTTAAGTCTCCATACCTATTTAATTATCAAACATGCTTATTTCTACCATGTCCATATACTTCATTAGACATTGCCTTTTGTTCCCTACATTTGTCTTTTCTTCTGAGAATATGATCAACTTAATTCTACCACATTCCTCCCTTTCCTTGCAACCCACTAACTTTTTCTACATTTATTTGCTTTCTAATTTGTTTTGTATCTCATTAACATTTTCTCCATTCAACCAAGTATCTCAACATATTTATTTTGTATTAATTATATTGTATTCAGTTGATATTCATTTATCACTCACACATTCTCAACAAACCAGGCACATTTCTATTCTATTACGATACATATTGCTTGATACCATTTTATAGCCTGGGATGTCCAAAACATTGTGTCACTTGTGTATGTTTATTATACTAAAGTGATTTACTATCACTCAATTGTGGTCGTACATTGAGGATTACCTGTACTTTTTACATATAAGTAACATTTTAGCTAACGATTCGCAACATTCAAACATTCTACTAAATTCATAAGGGAGTTAGAAAAACATTATGATTGTTTTAAGTGGGGGAGATGTTATTATTATTTTTTACCTTCCTTTTTATAGCAACCATTTTCCTTCTTTGATGTATAGTGAGTACAATGTTGTTAGACACAGAAAATATATGAAGATTTCAAATCTTCATGCATGTGTGTGAAAATGCAATAGTCATAAGCTTGGAAATTATAACAAACGGTGTTTCTCAATAATTTCCACTTGCTTTTGAATGCAAGGCTGCTTTTAAATGAATTCAGGCAGAACAGCAAAAATGTAGCAGCCCAACTGCTACATATGTGTAGGTATACGTGTGAGTATACAGAGAAAATAAGAGTCAGTAGTGTGAATATAACATTGGTAACCACAGTAACAAGGCTTCAGCTTCTGCACTCAGCATTTAATATGTTTATATTTTATGTTTGTTTCTTTTACTGAATTCAGGACATACAACAGAAAATATTGCAATAGTGGAAAAAGTCTTTCATTAGACATTTAATTTTTAAATTAGCATCTAGTTAGAATTAATTATCTCCTTCATCTGACTGTACAACTGTACAAATACAACCAATAAATGATTCCAAGAAAACAACATGCAATCTATGGGTTGCTTGTTAACTACTATGCTGTAATAGACTACAGGCATACTTTTCAGAAAGAGATTACGTTACATCCTAAACTTCCTTGTTTTATGGAATGAAACCTTACCAAATGGAAAGGACTCATATTCCATGAAACATTTGCTTTCAAAAATTCTGCAGATCCACTCATAAAAAAAAAATAAACAACCATGCTCAAATCATACATACCTCAGCAAGCAAGAATGTGGCCAAACAAGAATAATTTTAAGGAAGTATGACAATGCCTTCATTAATTACTATGCAGTAAATAAAGTTTTGAAATATATTTTATGAAGTATTGTGTATAATTATATTTAAAGAAACTATTTCCACCATGTGCAGAACAAAGTAAATTTGAAACCATATATTTAATCCAATTTTTCTCAGTATTCAATTATTTCTATGATAATTGTTTTAATGATGGCAATATGATTCATGCTTACTTTCATCTACTTGATTTTCTTCTTCAATTTTTCCTCCTTGTTTCTCTTCTTCTTGCTCTTTTTGTGGCACTTCTTGATGGCTTGAACCACTGACAGAAAGTATATGGCAGCAATGGTTGAACCCACCATCCCGCGGCAGAGTGTAACTACGAGGCTTTCCTCCATTCCCATTTAAAACTTGTATTTGTTCACCCTCTAAAGGAAAAGGCCCATAGTGATCCTGTAGATGACATTTCTGGGTAGGAAGAGTTGATTGTCGCCTGTGTTCTGGAGAGATAACAGCAGAATCAGAAAACACTGAATCCTCAAGGGGCAGAGTCTGAAGGTAATGTAACCCTGAACTTGTCAGTGGTGTTTCTATTAAATCCTGCCAAGACCGTCGCTGGCTTGCTGTTTTACGAATGGGAGATTCAGTAGTACTCCCCACCAGTTCCTGACGGAACTCTTCATGTGAAGATTGGGACTGGGAAGTTTCAGTAGATGACAGTCGACTGTGTTTTGGTTCCACAAAAGGGCTTGCACAACTCATCTGTAACAGAAATTTACATTCTGGCTTGAAGACAATAGTAAAATAAGTATACAATATATATTTAAGTAGCTAATTATAATTACAGCTCTCTTAGTTATATATTCCTTTTTTTAAAAAAGCATGTATAATAGGAATATGCATTAAATGAACTGCTTCCATAAAGATAATTCAGAAAATGTCCTTCAGACAGCTCTGTTAATTGTAGATCTCGGGAGAATTTAAAGCAAAATCATCCTTGCTACTTCTTGAGAAGATATGCATATTTCTTAAGAAGATATGTCGCATAAAAATACACATTGGAAAAGACTAGTAGTCATAAGTATTGGCCCTGAGGAGATGTTCACCACTAGAAGTGGTTTATAGTGGGATAAAAGAAGTGGGATGAAAATAAGATCTCATTCCTCTGCCACTTGTCTCCTTGATTCTAGTTTTTTATATAGTTTTTCAAATGTTAATTGTTTTTATGCAATATTTATCTTTTTGCTGTTTGCAATCTGTTTAGTGTCATCTTATTGGTGAGCTGGATGAAATATAAAATTAATTAATTAATCTTAAATAGCTTTTCACCTTCTATATATTGGCATCTCCCTTATTGATTATTTTATATATTTTATTTAATTTTATCTATCTTTCAAATAATGTTCTTCAAACTTTAAGATATAGAATAAAATAAATATAATCCAACATTTTGATTGATTGGGATGGTTATTTATTAAAAAAACAAATTAGTTTTTGGCTTCAACTGATAAATCAATATAGATGATATATTAATAAGAACCAGTAATATATCAGAAGGATAGCCTATAATCATTGATTTAAGATTTGAAATCCCTATCAGAGCTCATGAGATCCTTAGTTATTATAGATCAGGAGACCCAGGAAAAGAATCTCAGTATTCATAAATACCTTTGAAATTCTCCTGCATGAGCCCACTTTTGTAGCAGTTGAAAAGTTATTTTCAGCTGTTTTCTTCGCATTTTTAAATTTTTTTTTAACAATTTGCCTTTTAATTTCTTTTATTTATGAAAAGATTGCTGGAAATTACTTTGATTTGACTACTCAGAACAATATCACTAAAAAACGTGGCATGACAAAACCGCACTAGACTAAAGCGTGCCTGATTAAACCGCGTTGCTGACGTCATCAACAGGCCGACAACAGCGAGCGCGGAGAAAGAAGGGCTCTTTAAATAGCGCTTTGAAAGCAAGCCGATTCAACTTAAGGT